CCCCCAAACCCAGGAGCACCCCATTTTGGAGGTTCCCCATGGTCCCATATCCCCACCCACAGGATCAGGGCACCTTTGGGACCCCCCCAAACCCAGGTGCACCCCATTTTGGATGGTTTCCATGACCATAACCAGGATGAGGGCACCCTTCAGACCTCCCCCAGACCCAGGTGCACCCCATTTTGAAGGGTCTCCATGACCACACACCCCTACACATGGGGTCAGGGCACCCTCAGGACCCCCCCAGACCCAGGTGCACCCCATTTTGGTGGGCCTCCATGACCACGCATGGGGTCAGGGCACCCTCAGGAGCCCCCCCAACCCAGGAACACCCCATTTTGGTGGGTCTCCATGACCATGTATGCGGTCAGGGCACCCTTGGGAGCCCCCCCAAACCCACGAGCACCCCATTTTGGATGGTCTCCATGACCACACATGGAGTCAGGGCACCCTTGGGACTCCCCCTAACCCAGGAGCACCCCATTTTGGATGGTCTCCATGACCACACATGGAGTCAGGGCACCCTTGGGACTCCCCCTAACCCAGGAGCACCCCATTTTGGTGGGTCTCCATGACCATGCATGGATTCAAGGTACCCTCGGGACCCCCCAGAACCCAGGTGCACCCTGTTTTGGAGGTTCTCCATGGTCCCATAACCCCACCCACAGGATGAGGGCACCCTTCAGACCTCCCCCAAACCCAGGTGCACCGCATTTTGAAGGGTCTCCATGGCCACACACCCCCACACATTGGGTCAGGACACCCTCAGGACCCCCCCAGACCCAGGTGCACCCCATTTTGGTGGGTCTCCATGACCACGTATGGGGTCAAGGCACCCTCAGGAGCCCCTCAACCCAGGAACATCCCATGTTGGTGGGTCTCCATGACTACATATGCGGTCAAGGCACCCTTGGGACCCCCCAAACCCAGGTGCACCCCATTTTGGAGGTTCTCCATGGTCCCATAACCCCACCCACAGGATGAGGGCACCCTTGGGACCTCCCCCAAACCCAGGTGCACCCCATTTTGAAGGGTCTCCATGACCACACATCCCTACACATGGGGTCAGGGCACCCTTGGGACCCCCCCCCAACCCAGGTGCACCCCATTTTGGTGGGTCTCCATGACCATGCATGGAGTCAGGGCACCCTCAGGGGGACCCCCCCAGACCCAAGTGCACCCCATTTTGGTGGGTCTCCATGACTACGTATGGGGTCAGGGCACCCTCAGGAGCCCCCCAAACCCAGGTGCACCTCATTTTGGAGGTTCTCCATGGTCCCATAACCCCACCCACAGGATGAGGGCACCTTTGGGAGCCCCCCAAACCCAGGAGCATCCCATTTTGGTGGGTCTCCATGACCATAACCAGGATCAGGGCACCCTTGGGACCCCCCCCCAGACCCAGGTGCACCCCATTTTGGTGGGTCTCCATGACCACGTATGGGGTCAGGGCACCCTCAGGACCCCCCTAGACCCATCTGCACCCCATTTTGGTGGGTCTCCATGACCATAACCAGGATCAGGGCACCCTTGGGACCCCCCCCCAGACCCAGGTGCACCCCATTTTGGTGGGTCTCCATGACCACGTATGGGGTCAGGGCACCCTCGGGACCCCCCAGAACCCAGGTGCACCCCATTTTGGTGGGTCTCCATGACCATGCATGGAATCAGGGCACCCTTGGGACCCCTCAAAACCCAGGTGCACCCCGTTTTGGAGGTTCTCCATGGCCAGGGGGACACTCACGGCCTCCAAGGTGCTGGAGCTGCCCCACTCGGCCGGGGCGAAGGCGTCCTCCTCGCCCCGCGCTGGCTCCGGCCCCTCGTCCTCGTACTCCGTGAGGTAGTCAGACTCCTCTGGGATGGGGTGGGGGGGACACAGTCAGGCCCCATCTATGGGTCTGGCCCCATCTATGGGTCTGGCCCCACACGATGGGACCCCCAAACACCACCACCCCCAAAGCTCACCGTCCCCGTAGCCATCAGACAAGTAGGGCTTGGCGGGCTCGATGCGGGACACGATCTCGGCCAGGTCGGTGAAGCCGGCGCTGGGACACGTGAGGACCTATGGGAGGGGACAAAAAAAAGGGGGGGGACACATCCCTCAAGTAGCCCCCCCTCCCATGTCGGGGAGGGGTGAGGATGGGGGGAGCGGGAGGGGGCAACAGGGGACACAGGGAGGGGGAGAAAAGGGGTTGGGGGGACAGGATGGGGAGCAAGCGGATGGGATGGACCAAGGAGGGGAACAGGATGGACCAAGGGGACAGGAGATGGACCAAGGGGAAGATGGACCAAGGAAGGGACAGGAGGACACCAGTGAGGGACAGGAGATGGACCAAGGAAGGGACAGGAGGACACCAGTGAGGGACAGGAGATGGACCAAGGAAGGGACAGGAGGACACCAGCAAGGGACAGGAGATGGACCAAGGGGACAGGAGATGGACCAAGGGGACAAAGGATGGTGGAGGGATGGACCAAGGGGACAAAGGATGGTGGAGGGGACAGGAGGACACCAGTGAGGGATAGAAGATGGACCAAGGAAGGGACAGGAGGACACCGGTGAGGGACAGGAGATGGACCAAGGAGGGGACAAGGATGGTTTGGGGCACAGGAGATAGACCAAAGGGACAGAAGATGGACCAAGGAAGGGACAGGAGGACACCAGTGAGGGACAGGAGATGGAAGAAAGAAGGGACAGGAGGACACCAGTGAGGACAGAAGATGGACCAAGGAAGGGACAGGAGGACACCAGTGAGGGACAGGAGATGGACCAAGGAAGGGACAGGAGGACACCAGCAAGGGACAGGAGATGGACCAAGGGGACAGGAGATGGACCAAGGGGACAAAGAGTGATGGGGAGAGGGACAAAAGATGGACCAAGCAGGGGACAAGGATGGGGGGGGGAACAGGAGATGGACCAGGGTGGAGGGGACAGGAAGTCACCAGCGAGGGACAGGAGATGGACCAAGGGGACAGGACAGGCAAGGGACAGGAGGACACCAGTGAGGGGCAGAAGATGGACCAAGCAGGGGACAAGGATGGTGGGGGGGAACAGGAGATGGACTAGGGTGGAGGGGACAGGTCACCAGCGAGGGACAGGAGATGGACCAAGGGGACAGGACAGACCAAAGAGAGGACAGGAGATGGACCAAGCTGACAGGAGATGCACCAAGGGGACAAAGAGTGATGGGCAGAGGGACAGAAGATGGACCAAGGAGGGGATGGGAGATGTCCCCAGGCAGCCACCACCCGCCCTGGGTCCCCAGTGTCCCCCCCTGCTCACGTCCATGCGTTTGCTCTCGTAGAAGTCGGCCGAGCGTCGGTCCTTCACCATCTTCTCAATGATGTCACCGCGGCTCCAGCCCTCGAAGACCACCTTGCCGTGTTGGTAGCCCACATCCTGCAGGGAGAGTGGCCACAGCCCATCGGTGGCCTGGTCAATGGGCTGGGGCACCCCAAATGACCACCTGGGCAACCAACTGCTGGGTAGGACACCCCAACTGATGGCCAAGGTACGCCATTGATGGCTGGGCCACCCAACTGATGGCCAAGGTACTCCAAGTGATGACTGGGATCTTCAACCTAGTCAAGACGCCCCAAACAATGGCCAAAGGTAGCCCATTGATGGCTTGAGCACCCAACCGATGGCGGGGTCACCCCACCGATGGCTGGGTCACCACAACCACAACACCCCCAGATGGTGGCTGGGGCAACCAGTCAACTGCTGGTTGACTCTACCTGATGGCCAGGAGATCCTGTTAATGGCCTGGCCACCCAATCAATGCAAAGAGCACCCCAACCCACATCTGGGGCACCCCATTAGTGGCAAGGAGACCCCAATCAATGGCCAGAGGACTCCAACCGATGGCCAGGAGACCCCAATCAATGGCCAGGAGACCCCAATCAATGGTCAGGAAACCCCAACCAATGGCTGGAGAACCTCAACCCACAGCTTGAAGCACCTCATTGATGGCCTGAGGCCCTCTTAAAGATGGTCCAAGGCCACCTCACCGGCCTCCCTGTCCCCCCGACCCCAGACCCCCCCCAGCTCACGTAGATCTCGTCGAACTTGCGGAAGTCCATGGTCTTGAAGCGGTCGATGGGTGGGCGGATGTACTCGCAGTAGGAGCTGGACTTCACCACCTCCAGTTGCCGGACACAGGACACGTAGGCCAAGCGGGACTGGATCTCGGCCATGTCGGGCACCTGAAGAGGGAGGAGGTGGCTTCAGCAACCTCCTGCCCCGTGTCCCACATCTCACCAGCGTCATCCCACCGCCACCGGGTCAAGTCCTCCACCTTGACTTTTTCAGCCCAAGGGTTGAGACGTTTCCAGAGGAGCCACCAGCCCGACAGGCTGTCCCCGTAGTTACAGAGGTCGGTCTCGTCCTGGCTGCCCACGTCGATGGCGATCACCGTCTTGGCCCCCATGTTGCGGGCGATGTCGGCTGTGGGGGGAGAAGGTGGGTCACCAACATCACCAGTTTCCACCCATCTGAGGTAGGAAACGGGGCTGGGGGGAAGGGATTGTCCCTGAGCTGGATGGCAAAAGCCATGCTGGGGCTTGGTGGTGGGATGTCCCATATTGGGGGGCAGGAGTTGTTGGGGGGCAAGAGCCCAGCAGCAGTGACACGACCAGGTGTTGGGGACAATGGGAGGGCACAGGCAAGTTGCAGCATCTGTGGTGGGATGTGAAGGAGCGTGGAGATGCCCCAGGAGGACACCAAGAGGTGAAGTGAGGTGGATGGAGACGGCCTGAATGTGGAGGAGGATGGAGCAGGAGCGTGGAGATGCCCCAGGAGGACACCAGGAGGTGATGTGAGGTGGATGGAGATGGCCTGAATGTGGAGGAGGATGGAGATGCTCCAGGAGGACACTTTGTCCTGAGGACATGGAGAGATGATGTGAGGTGGATGGAGACAGCCTTCACGAGCAGGAGGGATGGAGATACCCCAGGAGGACACCAGGAGGTGATGTGAAGTGGATGGAGACAGTCTGCACATGGAGGAGGATGGAGACGCCCAAGGAGGACACCTGGTGCTGAGGACATCAAGAGATGATGATGGAACATGGAGGAAGGTGTTTTGCCTGTGGAGATGCTCCAGAAAGACACCCAGTGCCGATGACACCAGGAGACGATGTGAGGTGGATAGAGATGGCCTTCACGTGGAGAAGGATGGAGATGCTCCAGGAAGACACTAGGAGATGATGTCAGGTGGATGGAAAGGGCCTGCACATAGAGGAAAATGGAGATGCCTCAGGAGGACACCTGGTTCTGAGAACACATGGCAGAAGGTGGTTTGCATGTGGAGGAGGATGGAGATGCTCCAGGAGGACACTTTGTCCTGAGGACGTCAAGAGATAATGTGAGGTGGATGGAGATGGCTCGCAGGTGGAGAAGGATGGAGATGCTCCAGGAGGACACCTGGTGCTATGGCCTTCACGTGGAGAAGGATGGAGATGCTCCAGGAAGACACTAGGAGATGATGTCAGGTGGATGGAAAGGGCCTGCACATAGAGGAAAATGGAGATGCCTCAGGAGGACACCTGGTTCTGAGAACACATGGCAGAAGGTGGTTTGCATGTGGAGGAGGATGGAGATGCTCCAGGAGGACACTTTGTCCTGAGGACGTCAAGAGATAATGTGAGGTGGATGGAGATGGCTCGCAGATGGAGAAGGATGGAGATGCTTCAGGAGGACACCCGGTGCCGAGGACACCAGGAAGTGACACAGACTGGAGGGAGGAGGCTTCCACATGAAGGACTGTGGAGATGTTCTGGGGGGAAACCAAGAGATGGTTTGAGATGCACTGAGAAGGAGCATGGAGGCCACCTGGTGGCGAGGCCACCAAGAGGTGGTTTGAGATAACAGGAGGTAGCCTGAATGTAAATGAGGCTGGAGATGCCTCAGAAGACAATCCAATGCTGACAGGCACCAGGAGAAGATGAGGCACGATGGACAAAGGTGACTTGGACATGGAGGTGCCCCAGGAAGGCACCCAGGGCCACCGAGGGATGGTGTGAGACACAGGGAGGTGTCTTGCAGGTGAAGGAGGATGGAGAGGCCCAAGGAGGACACCGGATGGACAAAGGTGGCTTGGACATGGAGGTGCCCCAGGAAGGCACCCAGGGCCACCGAGGGATGGTGTGAGACACAGGGAGGTGTCTTGCAGGTGAAGGAGGATGGAGAGGCCCAAGGAGGACACCTGGAGCTGAGAACATCAAGAGAGGATGGTGTGAGATAAGACCAAGGTGGTTTGCACGTGGTGAAGCATGAAGATGCCCCAGGAGGACACCCAACGCCAAGGACACCAGGAGAGGATGATGCAGGATGGAAGAAGGTGCTTGGCATCCAAGGAGCACGCTGAGGACAGCAAGAGATGACGCAAGATGGATGGACAATTGTTGCACATGGAAGAGGACGAAGGTACCTTGATGATGCCTTCAGAAGATGCCCAACAACAAAGACAATTTTGAACGTGGAAGAGGATGAAGGTGCCTTCAGAGGACACCCAACAGAGAAGACATCAGGAGATGACCAAGACACCCAACACCGAAGACATCAGGAGATGACCCAAGTGGGATGGGCAATTTTTGGCACGTGGAAGAGGATGAGGTGCCTTCAGAGGACACCCAACACCGAAGACATCAGGAAATGACCCAAGTGGGATGGGCAATTTTTGGCACGTGGAAGAGGATGAAGGTGCCTTCAGAGGACACCCAACAATGAAGACACCAAGAGATGATGCAAAACGGATGGACCATTTTTGCACATGGAAGAGGATGAAGGTGCCTTGGTATGATGCCTTGAGAGGACGCTCAACCCTGAAGACATCAAGAGATGACCCAAGATGGATGGACAAGTTTTGGCACATGAAAGAGGATGAAGGTGCCTTTAGAGGACGCCCAACGCTGAAGACACCAAGAGATGACCCAAGATGGATGGACATTTTTTGTGTGTGAAAGAGGATGAAGGTGTCTTCAGAGGACGCCCAACACCAAAAACATCAGGAGATGACCCAAGATGGATGGACATTTTTTGTGTGTGAAAGGGGATGAAGATGCATTCAGAGGACGCCCAACACCGAAGACATCAGGAGATGATCCAAGATGGATGGACAAGTTTTGGCACGTGGAAGAGGATGAAGGTGCCTTCAGAGGACGCCCAACACCGAAAACATCAGATGACCCAAGATGGATGGACAAGTTTTGGCACGTGGAAGAGGATGAAGATGCCTTCAGAGGGCGCCCAACACTGAAAACGCCAAGAAGATGCAAGATGCCCTAAATCCAACCTCAACATCTCCAGCCGTTGAGAACACACCTCACGGTGGCCACGCAGCCCCCACCCAACCGCCTGCCCCCGTCCTTGGAGGAAGAAACAGTTGGGTGGTGGCCTTGAGGGCCTGGAGCTGCTACTTGCCTGGCAGGTTGTTGATGTAACCACCGTCCATCAGTAAGTTGCCGTCCTTGGGGTCGCAGAGGGGGGGTAGGTAGCCAGAAAGGGTCATGCTGGCTCGCACGTACCGCCAGAGCGAGCCTGCGCCGGGGCGGGAACAAACTCAATGAGCACCATCTACCCCCCAAAAAACCCACACGCCCTGCCCCGGGGGTGGTGGGGTGGGGTGGGCTGCCCCTCGCCCCTTCCCGGGGCCGTCTGCACCCCCCGGGGAAGCCCATGGAGGGCCACCACGGGTGGCAGAGGAACCCCACGGCCTGTCCTGATGGTTGGCAAAGCTCGGGTGGCTCAACTTGGGATGGGAGGTGGGTGGGGGGAGGTGGGTTTTGAGGGTGTTGCGGGGGGTCTCTTTCTGAAGGAAGGGGGGGGACACGTGGTGGCCCCCCTGGTGAGCGAGATGCTGACCTGGGACATTGTTAACATAGCAGCCGTCCACTAGCCAGTGGCTGTCCTTGGGGTCGCAGAGCGGTGGCAGGTAAGGGGTGTAGGACGCACTGGCTCGGACGTAGCGCCAAAGGCTACCTGCCGAAGGGGGAGAGGGACACGGTCACGGCCACCACCACCACAACCACGGTGGGGTGGGATGGGATGGGGTAGGATGGGGAGGGAAGACATGGGTGGGAGAGAGTGGGATGGGGAAGGAAGACACGGGTGGGAGAGAAGAAGACACGCCACCCCAGCACCCGCTGGTGGGCCACCGAGGAGGTTTGGAAGCCCCAAAAGCACCTCGGCCACGTAGGGATGGGGAAGGGAAGGTGGGGGAGATGCTCCCCAGAAGGTTAGGGCTGGTGAGCAGAGGTTAGTTGGGGTTAGAAGGAGGAAGAGGAGGAGGAGGAGGCAGAGCAAGAGCCAGGCCACTTTTACAAGCCACCGCGTGCGTCCCCCCATGGACGGCTCAATGTCCCAGGTGAGCTCCAGGACACTTGGCAAGGAGGAGGGGCAGCCACCGCGACATCTCCACCACCACCAAGTCCCCACCACCACGTCCCCACCACCGCCACATCCCTGCCACCGCATTGTCTCCATGACCATCAAGTCTCCACCGCCACCACCACGTCTCCACCACCATCTGGTCCCCACCACCACCACCACCGCATCTTCTCTACCACCACGTGGTCTCCACCACCGTGTCGGCCCCACCACCACCCCGTTGTCCCCACCACTGCCACCGCGTCCCCGTGCTCCACATGCCGTGAGCGTGGGTTACTGGTCAGCGCGGGGTTAGTGGTCAGCAGACAGGTTAAGAGAGGACACACATGCTCAGGGCTGGGGGGGGGCGTGATGTGGCTCCACACCCCACTTCTGCCCCCTGAACCCCACCGAGGACCCCCATGGGGACCTGAGGCTGGTGGGGTCACCAGCATCAAGTGGCCTCTGGGAAGCCACCACGACCTGGGCTCACCACGAGCCCTCCAAGACCCTTCCAAGCCATGCCAAGACATGTCCTCCCTGTGGCACGTGGCCAACCTTCCCCCATGGAGCAGCCAGCACCCTTTTGGGGTGACCGCTGAGGAGTGTCCCCCCAAGGAAGGGACACGGGGGACACCAGGAGGGGACACGGTGGCGCTCGAGAGCTTCCCCAGCTCCTCGGGGAGCTCTTACCGTCCGTGTGCACCCGCATGGCCGAGGCCGTGATGTCCGTGGTGACATTGAAGTAGGGCAGCCAAAGGTCCTGGGGGGGGACAAGACAGGGGTGGGTGACACCCTGGGGACGGTGGGGGTGGGGAGGTGGTTGGACACCCCCCCCCACCACGGGTGGGTGTAGGATGGGGGCTGGGGGGGCAGGTCCACCTCAATCTGCTTGTCCTCGAAAACCTTGTTGATGCTGGCGTTGAAGGCGGAGCCCGAGAACATGGAGGTGATGGGGTAGGTGAGGTCCAGGACGGTCTTGAAGGTTGAGTTCATGCACTGGAGGAGGAGGAGGAGGAAGGAGAGAAAAAGAAGAAGGAGAGAAGGGGAGAAAGAAGGAGAAGGAGAAGGAGAAGGAGAAGAAGGAGAAGGAGAAGGAGAAGGAGAAGGAGGAGGGGGGTGGGTGTAGGATGGGGGCTGGGGGGGGCAGGTCCACCTCAATCTGCTTGTCCTCGAAAACCTTGTTGATGCTGGCGTTGAAGGCGGAGCCCGAGAACATGGAGGTGATGGGGTAGGTGAGGTCCAGGACGGTCTTGAAGGTTGAGTTCATGCACTGGAGGAGGAGGAGGAGGAGGAGGAGAAGGAGAAGGAGGAGAAAGATGAGGATGAATAAGGAGAGGAGGAGAAGAAAGACAAGGAGGAGGAGGAGGAAGGAGGAGAGAAAAAGAAGAAGGAGAGGAGGAGAAGAAGGAGAAGGAGAGAAGGAGAAACAGAAGGAGAAGAAGGATGATGAGGAGGAGAAGGACGAGGAGGAAGAGGAGGAGGAGGAAGGAGAGAAAAAGAAGGAGAGAGGGAGAAAGAGGAGGAGGAATAAGGAGAGATGGATGAGGACAAGGAGGAGAAGGAGAAGAAGGATGAGGAGGAGAAGGAGGATGAGGATGAATAAGGAGAGGAGAAGGAGATGACAGAGGAGGAGGAAGAAGGAGGAGGAAAAGAAGGATTAATAATGAGAGAAGGAGGAGGAGGAAAAATAAAGGAGGAGGAGGACGAGGTGAGAAGGAGGAGAAGAGGGAGGAGATAAAGGAGGACACAAAGGAGATGAAGGAGGAGGAAGAGGAGGAAAAGGAGGAGGAAGAAGGAGGGGGCTATGAAGGAGGAGAAGGAGGAAGAAGGAGGAAGGAGAAAGAAGGAGAAGAAGAAGGAGAAAGAAGGAGAAGGAGAAAGGAGAAGGAGGAGGAGAAAGGAGAAGGAGGAGGAGAAGGAGAAAGGAGAAGGAGGAGGAGAAGGAGGAGGAGAAGGAGGAGGAGAAGGAGGAGAAGGAGAAAGGAGAAGGAGGAGGAGAAGGAGGAGGAGAAGGAGGAGAAGGAGAAAGGAGAAGGAGGAGGAGAAAGGAGAAGGAGGAGGAGAAGGAGGAGAAGGAGAAAGAAGCAGCAACAGAAGAAAAGTAGAGAAGGTGAAAGAGGAAGAAGAAGAAAGAGGATGAAAAAAAGAAGGAGGAGAGAAGGAGGAAGGGGAGGAGACGAGGAGAAGGAGGAAGAAGAAAAGGAGGAAGATGGAGAAGAGGAAACAGAAGAAGAGGAAGGAGGTGATTTAGAAACACCTCAGGCAGGGTTGGCCACGGGGAGGACAGTTGCCGGTGACAGCGTCCGCCCAGAAGAAGGCCGGGGAGGGTGGAGGTCGGTGTGGTCAGGGTGGGGGGTCCCTGGGGCACCCACCTTGGCCCACTCTCGCGCCCGCTGCTTGGTGCGGACGGCGCTGCGCTCCTCGGCGTAGAGCGCCCCAATGAAGGCCCCGATGGAGGTGCCCCCCACCAGGTCGATGGGGATCCCCGACTCCTCCATGGCCTTGATCACCCCGATGTGGGAGCAACCCCTGGTGGGACGGAGAAGAAGAAGAAGAAGATGGATGAAACTAGGACCTTCAACCCACAGGTGAAGGTTCTACCACAGCGTAGGGCACCCACCTGGCTCCGCCGCCCCCCAGGACGAGGGCGATGGTGTTGCCGGTGAGGACACGGGCCAACCGGGAGAAGTCACTGTGGCGGTTGGCGTTCTTCTCAAACACCTTCTCATACATCTCCCGCTGGGGATGGGATGGACCATGGGTGGGTGATGATGACAGTGGTGGACCACCAAGGTCACCCAAGGAGGGGAAATGAACCAGGGTGACTGATGATGATGGTGGACCACCAAGGTCACCCAGGGAGGGGACACAGACCAAGGGGACCGATGATGACAATGGTGGACCACCAAGGTCACCCATGGGTGGGGGGGACATGTACCAGGGTGACTGATGATGACGGTGGTGGACCCTCAAGGTCACCCAAGGAGGGGACACAGACCAGGGTGACCAATTGTAATGGTGGTGGACCCTCAAGGTCACCCAAGGAGGGGACACAGACCAGGGTGACCAATGATAATGGTGGTGGACCACCACCATCACCCAAGGAGGGGACACAAACCAAGGTGACCAATGATAACGGTAGTGGACCACCAAGGTCACCCAAGGAGGGAACACAGACCAGAGTGACCAATGATAATGGTGGTGGACCACCACCATCACCCAAGGAGGGGACACAGACCAGGGTGACCAATTGTAATGGTGGTGGACCCTCAAGGTCAGCCAAGGAGGGGACACAGACCAGGGTGACCAATGATAACGGCAGTGGACCACCAAGGTCACCCAGGGGGTGGGGAGGAGACGTACCAGCTTGGTGGGGCTCCGTCGGGAGAAGACACGCCGAGGACACCTGATGTGGAGATGACCCGAGCACCAACTGCGCATGTTGAGCCACTCAACAGTGCGGGAAGGACTGGGACCATCTTCACGGTGTAGAAGGACCAACTGCTTCAACGCCCGCACCGCCGTGTTCTCCAACATCTGCTCCAGCTGTGGAAGCCATCGGCCACCCATTGCAGCATTGTCCCACCACCATCACCACCACCTTCTCGCCCAACCTCACCTCTCCCAGCGCCGGTTCTTGGTCGCCCAACCCAACGATGAGGATGCAGTCGGCCTGGCGGATGCAACGCACGGTCCACGGCGTGAGGGTGGAGTCGGTTTGGTAGAGGACAATGCGGTGGATGTCCTCCTGCTGGGCCAACCAACCTGACAGGCGGTACTCCTGGATGCTGCCGGGATGGAGAGGTCAACCGGCGGCACGGCAGTGGGTGGGTGGGTGGGTGGCCAGTGACCTTCCTCCCGACGGGAGTTACCTGTCCAGAGCTGAGGAACCCAGACGAGCACGGATGATGTCACTGGTGAGGAGCAGGGTGGGACCTGGGAGAGGTGGGGAGATGGTCACCACCATGGCATGGTCATCACCACGGCACGGTCGCCACCATGCCATGGGGCTGCGGTCACCATCAGGTGGTCATTGTCATGCCATGGGGCTGTGAGGGTCACCACACCACGGTGTCCATCACACCACAGAACCATGGCCACCTCCATACCACAGCCACCAGACTGGCCCTATGGTCACCACCGCCCCAGGTCGCTGGCGTGCCACAGGCCCATGGCCATGTCCATGCCGTGGCCACCACTCACCGATGGCGTTGAGCGCGTGCTTGAGTTCCAGTGTGAAGGCGGCCGTGGGCACATCGTCGCACACCGGCAGCACCGCCACCGTCGACAGGTTACTGGTGGGGTTGGTGGGCTCCGAACTGGAGGCCATGCCCAAGCCAGAACCTGCCCAGACAGAGACAACAAGGTGGTGGCCACCTCCTGTGAGTCGTCGTCGCACACCGGCAGCACCGCCACCGTCGACAGGTTACTGGTGGGGTTGGTGGGCTCCGAACTGGAGGCCATGCCCAAGCCAGAACCTGCCCAGACAGAGACAACAAGGTGGTGGCCACCTTCCATGAGCTGCTCTGATGGTGGCCACCTTCCATGAGCTGCTGGGGTGGTGGCCACCTCCTGTGAGCTGCTCTGATGGTGGCCACCTTCCATGAGCTGCTCTGATGGTGGCCATCTCCCATGAACTGCTGGGGTGGTGGCCACCTTCCATGAGCTGCTGGGGTGGTGGCCACCAGCCCTGGAGAGGACACATTTGTCCCCCTCAACCCCTTTGGGACCTACTTGCAAATGGCCCACGGAGCTGCTGAAGGTTTCCCAAGATCTTCTGGCTCAGGAGGTGGATGAGGCGGGTGACAACCTGCGGGGGACAAGGACATGGATGGCCATCAGACCGGTCAAGGGGCACACGTTCCTTCCACAAGAAGAGGGTGTAGACCTCAAGATGGGGATCTGGGGGTACCTGGGGGTATCTCCTCTTGATGTTGTTCAAGGTGCCCTCAGGCAGCTTGGCCAGCTCCGTGTCCCGCACCGCGTGGACCGTGGTGGCCCGAGGTTGCCGGGTGAGGGCTTCCACCTGGAGAAGAAGCCATGGAGCCAAGACGTCTTGGCCAGACGTGTAGGGTTGTCCACCCTGTGGCCCACCCCGCCACGGTTCTCACCACGCCGATGAGGTCTCCACGGCCGTACTCCCCAATGAGCTCCTTCTTGCCGCTGCCCTTCTGGATGACGGAGCGAAGACGCCCGTTGAGGGCGATGTAGGTACAGTCTGACTTGTCACCTTGCCTGGGGGACAACACCAACAGGAGGTCATCCTCCCCTGGCCAAGCTGGTCCTCCCCAAGCTGAGGTGGGCCTCCATCCGTTGGTACCCACCTGTAGAGCGCCCGCCCGGCCTCCACCGCCATCCAGTCGATGGCAAAGTCCATCTGGCGCACGAAGGGGGACATGCGGGCGGCCACGGTGTGGGCCACGCTCAGGACCACGCTGGGCTGCTCCCGCATGATCCTACAGGTCAACACACGGTGGTGGCCCCAAGAGATGCCACCGTAGCCCAGGAAACCCCCTTCAGCACCAAGCCTTTGCCCCAAAGCTCGGGACTCACTCGTAGAAGTCCGACTTGGAGATCTTGAGGAAGGTGCAGTCGCGGTTGGCCTTGATGGTGAAGATGAGGGGCTCGCCAGTGAGGACGGCCAACTGGCCCACCATCTCGCCGGGTTGTGTCAAGAAGAGGCAGACGTCCTCCGCCTTGTCGATCATCCGCTGGTAGACGTGGAGGCAGCCCCACAGCACGAAGTGGAGGCTCACGTCCTGCCAAAACGGCAACCTGGTCACCCTTGGGGGGGCCACCAGGCATGAGGAGGTCCCACCAGCCACCTCTTGGGCCTCCTCGCAGGGTGTTTGGCACCTTCCGGATGGCTCTAGATGGTTCCTGCCCCCCAACCAGCCACAGGGCAGGAGTAGGAAGAGTAGTGCCCCATGGAAATGTAGGGTGGGGGGAGCAAGATGGGACCAGCTCCCTGAAACCCAGACCCACCTGGTCCCCTTGACGGGCGATGACCGTCCCAGCTTTGGCATGATGGAGCAAGACACGGTTGTTGAGGAGAGAAGGGTCCTAGAGGGAAGAACAACGTCACGTGAGGTGATGGGGACCATCAGGAGGAGATGGGGACCACCAGGAGGAGACAGAGGACCACCAGGAGGTCATGGGGACCACCACAAGGAGATGGGAACCCACCAGAAAGCGATGGCGGACCATCCCAAAGAGATGGGGACCACTATGAAGCAACAGGAGACCAATATAAAGGCAACAGGGACCACCATGAGGCAATGGGAACCCACCACGAAGTAATGGGAACCACCACAAGGAGACGGAGATCACCCTGAGGACATGGGGACTACCACAAAGTGGTGGGGACCAACCATGAGGTGATGGGGACCCACCACAATGCTATGGGGAAGCCACCATGAAGCAACAGGGACCACTACATAGCAACAAGGGAGCAATATGAAGTGATAAGAGACCACCATGAGGCAAGAGGGGACCACCATGAGGCAATGAGAACCCACCACAGCACAACAGAGGACCACCACAAGGCAATAGGGGCTACTATGAGGCAACAGGAACCACCACGAGGGACTGAGCACCCAACATAATGTAACAAAGGACTACTACAGGGCAACAGGGACCAACACAACGCAACAGAGGACCACCACAAGGCAACAGGGGCCACCACGAGGCAACAAAGGACTACCATAAGACAACAGGGACCACCACAAGGCAACAGGGGCTACCACGAGGCAATAGGAACCCAACACAAGGCAATAGGGGCCACCACAGGGCAACGGGAACCCACCACGAGGCAACAAGAACCCACCACGAGGCAACGGGAACCCACCACAAGGCAACAAGAACCCACCACAAGGCAAGAGGAACCCACCACAAGGCAACAGAGGACCACCACAAAGCACCACCATGAGGCAATGGGAACCCACCACAGGGAAATGGGAACTCACCACAAGTCAACAGAGGACCACCACAAGGCAACAAAGGACTACCATAAGACAACAGGGGCCACCACGAGGCAACGGGAACCCACCACAAGGCAACAGGGGTCACCATAGGCAACAAGAACCTACCACGAAGCAAGAGGAACCCACCATGAGGGAACGGAGGACCACCAGAAAGCAACAGGGACCACCACGAGGCAACTTGAACCCACCACAAGGCAACAGAGGCCACCATGAGGCAATGGGAACCCACCACAGGGCAACGGGAACTCACGAGTCAAGAGAGACCACCACAAGGCCACAAAGGCCTACCATAAGACAACAGGGACCCCCACGAGGCAACGGGAACCCACCACGAGACAACAGAGGCCACCACGAGGCAACAGGAACCCACCACAAGGCAATGGGAACCCACCACAAGGCAACGGGAACCCACCACGAGGCAACAGAGGCCACCATGAGGCAACAGGAACCCACCACAGGGCAAGGGGAACTCACCACGAGTCAACAGAGGACATCCACAAGGCAATGGAGGACCACCACAAGGCCACTGTTTCTGCCCTCACCTTCACCTTCATGAGCTTGACCAGCTCCTGCTTGGCAGCCTCGAAGATGGCGCTGGTCTGGCGGCCTTGGTAAGGCCCGAAGGGGCAAGTGCCGGTCGCCGCGTCCTCCTCGCAGTCGTTGTCGTGGTGGACACCAGAAGGTTGCTCCTCCACCGTCACCGACTTGCGCTCCTTGGCCTCATGGGAGACAGACTGGGGGAGGGGGGGAGAGAGGAGACACGTGGGATGGTTCCAGTGGCCACCTGAGGCCACCTGGGGCCACCACGGAGGGGAGCAGGGGTGGCCGAGGCCTCACCCGGGAGAAGGTGGCCATGGTGCTGTCCTCCTGCAGCGACACCGAGATGCGGCCCCGCTCGTAGGCCATGTCGAAGTCGGAGCGGGGACCCTTCTGGAGGCCTGTTGTGGGGGGGGGACACGGGGA